GAATGTTTGTGAAAATCTGCTCTGTAGCAGCCGTCCCCGTGAGAAGAAGGGCAAAGGGCCCTCCTCCTGTTGTTGATCTACAGCAATTTGGTCTGAATCTGTTTTCATGAAGCAGTCACACTGCAGCACAACTTGCTGTTGTCAAGGTTAGATCGTTCCCACATGTTCTGCCTAACATCTGCTTGGTGGGTGAAGCCAAAGTTTCTCCTTTTTCTGTAGGTATTCGGAGCCGTTTACTTCATAAGGCCACATCAGGATGAATGGCAGGAAATTAAAGTGGAATTATTTAGCTTTGGAAAAGTGTGCAGAACAATACATTATGGAGGAATGCCCAAGTGAAGAAATTAAAAGTAAACACAAGTGCCTGCAGGTGGTCTGATCTGTCCGCCGTGCACTTGGCCACGAGTTCCCGTTGGCAGAGCCAAGGTGCCAGCTCTGAGCAGCAAACGCCGCGCTGGGGCCCGTTCTACTGGGCAGTTTGTGACGCAGATAACAGGATTGAACACCCTGGAAGTGTTCAAGGCCAGATTGGATGAGGCTTTGGGCAAGCTGGTGTAGTGGAGGGTGTCCCTGCCCATGGCAGAGGGTTTGGAACTGGATGATCTTTGAGGTCCCTTCCAACCCAAACCATTCCATGATTCTATGATTTTGATAACACAGTGACCTCTGAGTACAACGGGGGCTTGTCAGAGAAGTCTTTCAGACAGCTGGGAGGAAGTTCTGGCAAGACCACTGTCACACACACGCGGTTTTTAAATAGTCAGGGGTTTATCTCTGGGGGTTCTGTTCCAGAGCAAGGGTGGATGCTCAGTGCCTCTTTCCCAGGGAACCGAGGGAAAACGCGGTTGGCTTTCCAGGCGCTGAAACAGTGAGAAGGTACTGAAAGGTGATAAACTGCTGGTTCCCAGGGGTTTGGACAAGCAGTTCAGCTGCCCTCGCCTTTATTGTGGTCCTGCACGACCACAAACTTCATGTGCTGTTGATCAAGGTACATGCCGTTACGTCAGTTTATAGGGCTTCAAATCCTGAAGTTATGACTGTGCTTAGGATTTCTCTTTTAAAAAATGGATAACATGATGCCACACACAAAACCAGATGAGGTTTCTTTGATGTGTAACTGTTTGAGAAGGAGTAAATTTGTCACTTTTTCATTTACATGAGACTCTGCAGAAGGAGTGATGTTTAATAGTTCTTTTATCTTTGCTCAGTATTTTCTTTGGTGGTTTTTTTTCCAAATGGGGGGAGAAAAAAAAATATAATTAATTGTAGAGATGAAAAGAACTGGGATGTAGGGTGGAAAAAAGGTGAAGGCTGATTGAAACTGATAGATGGTGTGTTCTGAAAGATAACATTTACCTAGGAGGGTCTAAGACAAAATATCTAGTCCCATTAAGTCAGTGTCGATGCATCATATGAATTAGCATTATTTTCAGGTCCACCTTCTTGCATACTTCTGCTCTCAGCATTACAAACCATAAGATTTAAAGCATTTCATGTCTACCTGTAGTAGAATTTGATGTTTTCTGGTAGGATAAAAAAACCCAAACACACACAAACCAGCTTCTTGGTATAAAGCCGGTCTCTGCTCGGGGCTGAATAGAAATTGGAAAGCTGTTTGGAAGCGTACAGCAGTGCAACGGCATCCCAACCTTTTCAATAGAAGTAATGTGTTGTTCTTGAGAAAATACAAACATCTGGCTCAGATGGTTTGTAAGCAGTGAGAAATCAGTTCAAATATTACAATTAAAAACGTTTCTCGGAGGCAGCGCTGTGATGTGCTGCTCTGCCTGCAGAGGTGGGAGGGACGAGCTGCGGGGCCGAGATGCAAACGAAGCACAATACATGTACAAGTGAATTATTTCAGTAGGAACACAGACACAAAAGCCATGTTTTTGTTCACAGATTTGACAAATCAAGTAGAGACAGTTGGGCTGAAGCTGCAGAAGGTGACAGCGGAGATGGACCACTACAAAAAGCTGTTAACGTAAGATTTCTGTTTGCTCCGTTGTTTTTGACCACTTTTTGCAGAGCACGCTGCTTGTCAGGATGGTTTGAGATGGTTATGACCAACAGAGAAAACACTTTCTCTTCACATTAAAGAGTGGGTGAGCGTGTGTGTCCGTCGAGACAGGGCTTTCTTCCTCCAGCTGTGGTTGGTGATACCGCAGAGAGGAGGGTCAGGTCACCTCGGTCCTGCGCTTCACTTAACACACAAGCGTAGGATCATTTTTGTGAAATCCACTAAAAACGTGTGTGGAAGGTAGTATTTCACAGTGTAGGTTTGGGATGGAGGGAAGGGTTCAATAAAACCAATCAGGAACTTTAGCATTTAATCATTGACTATGATTTATTACTTTTTTTTCCCCAAATGTAAGTTTGCTGTCACTTTTCCCCACACACCAGTATGTTGTTGTGGTTTGTATTTTGACTGTGCCTGTGGTTTCAAGTGAGAGTATACAAAACCTAAATTAAGAGAAGGGGGAAAAAAAAAAAAAAAAAAAAGAAGAGAATGTCATCAAATAGTTGTTGGAGCTAACGGAAGCACGGTGCGAGACAAGAGCAGTCGCACAGCGTGAATAGCTCGGCTCATCCCGGCTCCAGCCCACGCGATGGAGCGGTGCCCGCAGTGATGCCCATCTGGCTCCATCCTGCTTTCGGATGTCGCTGCCCCAGCCCACACACAAAGGGGAGAGCAAAGGTCCCTTCAACCCAAACCATTCTATGACTGTGAAATGAGGCCTCTGTCAAAACTTGAGGAAATCATAGAATCATGGAATGGTTTGGGTTGGAAGGGACCTCAAAGATCATCTAGTTCCAACCCCCCTGCCATGGGCAGGGACACCCTCCACTACACCAGGTTGCCCAAAGCCTCATCCAACCTGGCCTTGAACACTTGAAATAAGGAAAAGGATGGACCTCATCAACCTTGTTGCGCTGTCGCACGCTGTTCTCCTGGTGAACGTTCCGATGGTGGAGCAAGGGCCGTGCGGCGGAGCCGCCGCGTTCCCCAAGGCCGCCCTCCATCGCCTTTCGCAGGAGCTGTGTCAAGTACCCAAAATTGGGCCAGGTGACCTCGGGACTCCCATCCCGGGGCAGGGGTGCTCAGCAGGACCCACGTTGTCACCTCTAAAGGCTGCGGGCTCCGGGATCGGAATGCTTTCCCGTATTGAAAATCCACATCGCTTCCATGTGCCATAGAAAGCCCTTCAGAAACAGCAGCAACCTTTATAATTCACTACTGAAAACCAAAACTGCTGTTCCAAATGTTAAGCTCAAGAGTAAAACTGTATGTTTTCCTGAAATTTAAAGAAGGATTCGTTCTTCTATGATGTGTGCTTTCTGGTTTCGGTTCCTGTATTCAGAAGGTCTGATCGTAACGAAGTTGCAAATATTTGGAATGCTTAGCAACAAAGTATTTTAATGATAATACAAATATTGAATATGAAAAAAAGATTTCGTGAACATAGTTAAATAAACACTAAAGGGTTTCCAAACGTAATATTAAAATTTCAATGTAACATCGGTACAATTTAATAAAATAACATATTCTATATCTGTTTAAATGTAAATACGAAGCTTAACCATGGTTATTAATTGGTGAAATGATGACGTAACAACAAGAAATCTGCAAAGTTTCCAGCTCTCTTACCTATTAAATTGTTATTTGTTCATTTTTATTTGTATCTTACTTGAAACTTTCGTCAGGGTTGCAAGATCGCACTTTCTTGTTTGCAACATTAAACTTGTGATCCTAGGTTAGGCTGAGATGTCGTTGGAAGAGTAACTTCCAATTATTTCAAAATGTTAGCTAGAACTAACAGAACTTTTTGTTGTCTGCCTTGTAACTGAAATAGAAAATGCAAGTTAGATAATATCCCAATAAATGTGATGTTCAGATTACCGCATGAGTAAAGACTATCATTTCTTTGGACAATACACATTTTTTTTAATGTTTTCTTAGGGTGAAGTCAACGGAACTTGATGTCTGTCAAAATGAACTGAAAAAAATGAAATATGAAAATGGAATTTCTGAGTCAAGGTAAATACTGCAGTTACATGTCACAACATAACAGATTTCTGAACAGAGAAAGCAAAAAATTGATTTTATGATTTTAATGCAGCTTTTATGCAATATTTTTTTCTGATTTTAGTTTCTATTTTTGTGTTCACATCACTAGATTTAATTCCAAAAAGAATGCATAGCTTTGTGTCTAATATCTTATTTTCCAGGTACGAAAAATTTCTGTGGATTTAGTATCTATCTGTAAATAAGAATATAATAACGACGATGCTGATACTTTTTTATTTCATCCGTAGACTTACAAAAGAGCTCAAGGAAAAGGAAGAATCTCTTCAGATTTGCCAACAAGTATGCAAGCATTTACAGGAAGAAGTGGCTGAGAAAGAAAGGAAAGAAGAAGATCTAAGAAGAAGAACCAGTCGGTCAGAAAGTGAACTGGAAGCACTTCAAGCTCTTCTTAGACAAACAGAGGAAGAGGTGGTGACGTTGAAACAGGAAAGGTAATGGGAGCTGAGTCACCACGAGTGATCTCCTGGATGTTTAACCCAGGTTGTCTTTCTGGACATCTTTGAAAAGGAAGCATTCCTCCTCCACCAGATCCTCCACCAAGAGGACAAATGGGTTCTGTAAAGCACCAGCAGTGGTTGCTGCCGGTGGGGATGTGGGAGGAGAGGCCACTGGAGCGGGAGCGTGGCCGTGGGCACAGGGCAGCCTTGCCCTCCCTCTCTGTCTCCTAAAACTCTAAAAGCCTTGGCAGCCCTGAGCTCGTATCCTGAAAGTCTGGAATTCATTGGATGGATTTTTTGAATTGCTAGGTTATAGACTAAACTTGAATGAAAAAGAAGAAAGGAAAAAGCTTATTAAAAAAGGAAAAAAAGATCCTTGCTTTGCAGTCCAGAGCTTCAGTTCAAGCCTAATCTAAGCACCCATTTATTGCAGTTGTTAGAGCTGCTGTTAGTTCTGTGAGGCTTGGGGAGCACAAGCCCTGGAGAGTTGAAATTCTTGTAACTTAAGTTATTAGCAACTTGCAAACCGTAACAACGCTGTAAATCCTGCAGCGTGCCGGGTTTTTGGGTATGGTCTGGGATTCAGCAAAGTGTATGGACACCTTCCTGCCAGTCTAGTCTTATTTGGAAGGCTCTCAGATATCAGTTTTCCCTGTAGTTATTTTTAAGACACTGAAAATGAAGCCCTGAGCTCCTGAGGGTTGTCTTTCCCAGAGCAGTACCTGGTTTGGGTGCCTTGGTTTGACTGTTGCACTTACCAACCTCAATTCGCGTGGCTAAAGTTGCTTGGAGTGTAATCGACATCTCCAGTTTTATTCCCAACATCCACAGGGTTGTTTTTACTATTTAGAAGTGTCCTGCTAGTAGATTTTCAATTACTGATAAATTAGCTTGATTGGTTTGTGTACAATGGGAAATGCACTTGGAGAAGTGACTTTTGGAGAAGAGAAGCGTTTTCTCAGAGGGATGTACACCAAGAGGCACTAAGCTCTTTTCTTATTTAAAGGATTTGGATATTCCCTGTACTTTAGTGCCTGCATGAAAAGATTTTACATGTTAATTTAAGAATATTTCCCTTCTACTTAAAGCCCAGATACATGAGTTGTTCCAGGTGGCACACTAATAATCTAAGTTACAAGAATTTAAACTCTCCAGGGCGTTTGCTCTACAAGCCTCACATGACAAAGAGGAACTCTAACAATGGAAAGCACTCAATGGCCATGGTTCAAAACCTGTTACCATTTTTTAATTAACGATAGCAATATTCTGAGTTCATTAAATACAACAGTTTCTGGTTTGGATATTATAAGAGTTTTTCAGTGTTCTTCAAAGTTTGACTTGAGCAATATTAAAAACATTTGAGGTTTAAGTATGTGCATCCGTGGAGGAAAGATCAACTCTGTAGTATTTTCTTTAAAACGTGAAATTCATAAATCATATGATGGCATGAAGCAAATGCTCAGCAGTGCCTAGTGCTGTGGCTCGGGGCTCCAGGTGGGATCCCTGGGCTGGCTGCACAGAGTGCTGAACAAAGAGGAGCCTCTGCCACAAAGGACTTCATCGTGAGAAACCAGCATAGCACTGGGCAGAGCACGTAGTTACATACGAGTTTTTGTGGTTTCTAGGGAGTTAATGCTGATTTCTCATCAGAACACAACAGAGCAGCTGCAGGAAACATTAAGACAGAAGATGCGGAACGAAGATAACTGGAGGGAGAAGGTAATGCTGGATGTGCACTTGGCACCCTTGCGATTTCGTCTTTATTTTTTCTCCTCAGTTGCTGTCAGCTGTCGCGCTGAGCGCAGTAGGGCAGATGCCCATCTCCTCAAGTGCAAACATGTCAGTGGTAGTCTTAGTGCAGGAGGTTTTACTGGGTGATCTCTCTACGTAGGCTGGAACTGAACACAGATGATGTTTAGTATGAGCGTTGGCAGACCTGGCAGATGTTCAGGTTCAATCCAGACTTCCCAGTTTTGGAGTGTTGGCAAAGCTCCCGTGTTAGGAGCAGGACCGAGCCCACGGAGCCTCTGGTCTTGCAGGCTCCGTGCTTTCCCTGTGTGCTCCACAGGAGGGGTTGCAGTGGGAAAAGCCCAGTCTCATGGGCCATTGTCCTACCCCAGCTCCAAGGAGGTGAATGTATGGAGCAACAGCCCAGGTTATAAACCCTGAACTGCAGTTGTGGGGGCAGGAGGGGGTGGGACAGTGCCTGGAATTGTTTCCTGGCACGTCTGGCAGAGAAGCATAGGAAAGCATATATTGAATATTGAAGTCATTTTCCAGTAAAAACAAGGTTGGGTGTTGTGGACAAGACGGAGAGAGCACTGAGCCTTCCTGCTTGCAGGTTAGGTGACCTGAAACTGAAGAGTGCTATTGGTAAAACAAATCCATCTGACAAAACTAAAAAACAAGCAGATGAGCAAAAACGTCCTTTCCTTAGAAGAACAGGTATTTGCAAACCAAAGCAGAGCTGAACCAACAGGCTGCCGCAGCGCAGCGGGTGCCAGGGCTGTCGGGAGCTGTCACGCAGGAGAAGGCACCGGTGGTGTTGGCCGTGGGGCTGACGTGGAGGGCGGGAGGTGCGTGGGGATCCTGCCTGGTGCGTGGGGCAGGATACGTGTTCGTGCCATCCCTGGGATGGCTCCGTCACTCGTGGCAAGAGGCAAGTGAAGAAGTAACGGGACAGTTTTATCCTTTCCTGGAGTTTGTTGTTGTTTTGATATGAACCCATAGTTCCCACTGGTGTCAGGGCAAGTCCCCACGTGTATGGGGAGGAAGGTGACACCCCCAAATTAGCAGTGTCACCTAGCTCAAGATCCGAAGTACGTGGAACAAGTGTTGCTTTCAGCCTGGGGGTGCAGGGAAGTTTGTACAACTGGTTCATGTGCCCTTCCAAGCCGTCTGCCTGCGAGTGATTGGGAGGTGCCCTGTTCTGCCTGGCCTGGTGGCTCTGCTGCCCACGCACCGGGCGAACGGCTCCGCGGGAGATGGGCATTGGCGTGGCGAGCGCGCGGGCGGTTTGACGGCGTGGGCAGCTGCCCCGGGGGGCAAAGGGGCACCGCGGGTGGGCGGAGGAGCGTGGTTGGACTGGGGAGTTGGGGATGGAGAGGTGGTGGTGGAGAGAAGGCCTGTGGCTTGTCTGTTCCCTGGGTCTGGGGGTCCTCACGGTGAAAAAGAGCCGAAGGAGTTGTGCAGGGAGGGTCCTGGAGCTAGAGCAGAGCTCTGGCTGGAGGAGGGCTTTGTCCTGGCGGCTGAGCTCGGGCATCGGCAGCCCCCTTCGGGCGGTCACGTCTGGCAGGCAGGCTCCTGCCAACGACCCTGCTGCTCCTTCCCTCGCCTCCCCTTCGGATCAGAGCAGGACAAAAATACAGACTGCAGTGAAATTCACTGGGAAAATACCTCTGTATTTCATTTGAAAAGACCTCATGCTCCTGAGACTTGGCTTCTCCGTGAAACAACCCATCCTTGGTTCCTTTATTCGTTGACTCTTACAAAAACCTGCAAAGCCACTTTTACACACCTTCCCACCTGGGCTCTTCCAGTACTTGGATGATGGTTCCTTTCGTGGTGAGGTGGAAGGGGAGGGTGGGAGGGAGAATGATGCACCTTCCGTACATGCGCGCTCCTTTATACATGCCCATCTTTCCTTTATTTGATGGAGTGAAGGAAAAAGAACAAAGTAAAGGTGAGAAGGGTGGTTAAAACACAGCCAGGAGGACACCTTGAATTCAACAGGTAACTTCTTGGTTGGGGAACAGAGAGTTGGAAATTCCGAGATGAGGTCTGGTCCTGGTCTATGGATGTAGGATGCAACGAAGGAAAGCAGGGGGGACGTGGGGCAGCACATCCATCCACACCCACCCTGGGGTGCCTCGCCACAGCCATGCCAGGGCTCTTCCACAACCAGGAACTCCTGTTAACCTCTTTTCTTGTTGGAAGGGTTTCCCACCGCTCGTCACATCTCTAATGACGTTCTACAAAGTTCTCTAATCTCTATGACGTTCTACAAAGTTTGATTATGATTTGTTGGTCGTCTTTTAGCGTGTACTTGGGTTTGGGGTCTTTGTGGAAAAGTATTTTCAGCTGATAAAAAACGACTGTATGCCCGCTGGGCGTGCCAATTGGGGAGGTTTCTTAGCTAATTGCAGAGCTGGATGGAACGTGGCTCCTCCTTTCTGCTGGGCTTTGAGCCGCCTCGCTGCGGAACAGCGGTCTCGGGAACCGGGACCTCTCGGCTCCGCGGGATGGATCGCTTTTTCTTGTGGGTTTGGGGCATCTGTGAAGTTCTGAGCTGGCGACTCCAACTGGGATCGGTGAGTCCAGCTGCCAGGCTCTTCCAGTGGGATTTGGAAAGCTGTTTACCATAAACAACTGGGAGCGTGAAAATTTGGGTGTAATCTGAGACTTTTTCACGTGAGTGCCAAAAAAAGCCCCAAACTGAATGTAAGAAATTAAAAAAAACCACAAAAAAACTGTGAAGGAAAAATTGAAAATAGTGTTGAATAATAATTCTGACTTCTCTGATTTAAGCCTTACATAATTGGTGACTAAAATTTTGTCTTTTTTGGTTCAGTACGTGGTAAGTGCCTGAAAGCTTTATTTAGTCTCAGGGAAATTTTTGCACTACTAGCAATTAAGATCAGTTACATTTCTTTTCAAACTTCTTAACCTCTCTGGCGCAGGGTATAATTTTAGCATGAGGTCACACCGTCTGCATAATCACGATGTGTTGTTCAGCCTGACATTAGAACAGGATAAGGACTACTTACTGCTGGTGAGAGAGAGCCACCCTTGGTATCACGGCCATTAAAATGCAGTCGGTGGCAAGTGCTCTAAAAACGTTCTTACCAGACAAAAGAGTCAGAAATGTGACAAAGTGACAAAAGTATCTTTTTCTTGGGTCACTGTGCCATCGCATAGGTATGAAGTGTTCCAGTTTTCTATTTAAAACAAACCTTAAATTGTTTTAATGGAATGCAAAAATACCTCTTTGACAGATGATTTTAAGATTGACGTAAACATTTGTTTTAAGATTTTTTTTTTTAATATTAATTAATGAGGGGCATGTAAGTGGTTTTAATGCAGTTAGTAGCCATTATGCTTGCTTTGAAGATCACGTGCCATTTTATTTCCTCTTCTGATTTATCAGCTTTATTAGTTTCAAGTGTTAAATGTGAAAAATGCTTGTGTGATCTTCAGAATGAGCTCAGGTTCTTATACTGCTTATATTTTTTAAATCTTTGTGGTCAAGTAGCCTCCAACATGTGATCTGCTTCTGTAATAACATGTAGAGTTAATAAATTTGGGCTTCTATGATTAGAATCCTAACTCCATATCTGATAATGTAGAAGATGTATCTATAATAATAATATAGAATCATAGAACCACGGAATGGTTTGGGTTGGGAGGGACCTCAAAGATCATCCAGTTCCAACCCCTCTGCCATGGGCAGGGACACCCTCCGCTACACCAGGTTGCCCAAAGCCTCATGGGCATTTGTTATATTGTTATATTAATAACAACAATAATAATAATGGTCTAGTTAAATATGTGAGGTGCCTTCAAGACTGGCATATTTTACCCAGAATTTGCAACTCTCTCACTTCTTGGTCCAGAGCTTGTCCCACGTACACACCACCGATCCGTCAGTCCTGTCCGTGTCCGCGCCGGCGGCCGTTCCCCGTGTTATTTTGCTGCATTCGATAATAATAACAAGCTGAATTTTACCTCCAGAGCAAATGTTTCCAGCAAAACAATAATCTATTTTAAGAATGGAATCGATTTGTGGAATGGGAAAAGTATTGGAAGATAAAATGCTGCATAGGGTTAAAACCCCCTTGTTCCCCAGATGGAGATCGACCTGGCTAAAGGGGAGGCACGGCACAAGGAGGCAATTCTGAAGGTCAGGGAGGAGGCGAGAGTGGAACTAGACATCGAAAGACAAAGGCAGCAAGAATTGATCACAAAATATCAGAGGGATCACGAAGAGCTCCAGAAGAAGGTGTGTAACGCTCAAGAGAGAGTTTGTGGCAGTAGATAGTGTAAAATGATGAAAAATAGTTTTGTGAAGGAGTAGAACCTTCTTCGTGTGTAGTCCTGTATCCAGATGATACAATATTTTTTTCCCAGTCTTAGTATATGGCATGTTTCAGGTTTTTTGTTGGGTTTGTTTGTTTGTTTGTTTGTTTTTTTAATGGAACAGGCTAAAAAGTAACTATTCTAGCTAAAGTTAAATGGCATGGAAGTTCTGTCTTTTCTCTCCTTTTCTCTACCCAGAGTTCATCTACAGCCATAGACTGTAGTTGTTAATTATTTTTAAACTGACATCATCATTCTTTAAAGGCTTTGGACTGTGACAATGACTTGACTATGACAAGTTGTCACAAAGCCATCCACACTGGTTTTTTTTTTATTATTTAAATTCAAATTAATTCAGCTCCGGTGGGGTCAGGTCCAGTGGGCAGTGAACTGCTTCCCTCGTCTGTGCTGGTGGTTGTGTCACATGCAGTTGGCTGTTCCCAGCTACCCAGACCTCCACGTTTTGAAGTTTTGTGTAGAAACTGCAAATTGTGTCTATAACCTTAGTTTTCAAAAGATTTGACAGATTTCTTGAGAGTTCGGGAAAAATCAAATTTGATGGAATTATAGTTAAGATTTGTCACATTACACAGTGTTTTAAAAAGCTGAAAATAAGTTTGGCGTAATTCACTTTACAAATATTTGACTACGATTATATGATTTTAAAACCTTGAAGAAATACTGGCTTGCAGTAAAGTTAAATTTTCCCATTTTTACCTCTATTTCTCCATTTGGTCTTGGACATACTAATTAATCTCTCTGTTGTGAGTGAGTTTTGATTAATTTGCAGCTCTCTCATGTCCTTTGAGGGTATTATGTAAATTAAAAGCATTTTTTTTTTGTCTCTGAGGACATGTATGTTTGCATTTGTCTTTTTTTTCCCAAAGCAAACATTTTTCTGATACTTAATTCTACATATCTAAAGGCATCCACTGGTTGGAGACTAATGCAATTTTCTCTAATCTGATGCAGATCCCAGGTTTAATATCCAGTGCCACCAATAGCTTAAGGATGGAGACAGAAATTCTTGAAAAGAAGCTACAAGATGCCCAGATCAAACTTGCAGAGAAAGACGAAGATAAGGAAAAAGAAATTCAGAGCCTTAAAAGACTAATTACTGAACTTGAATTTCAGCTGGCGATGGAAAAGAACAGTAATGAATCATTTCTGGATAATATGAGGAAAGAAATTAAACACAAGTCAGATGAACTGGAAAAATTAACCCGGGAGCGGACACAGCTGATTCACAATTTGAGTGAAGTTCAAGAGGAGGTAGGAACACGGCCGAGGAAATGCCTTGCTATTTTTGCTGAGAGACATGTGGTTTCTCAAATCATTCAGAGCATCTATATTTCAAACCCTCTCGTGTACTGGTGTAAAAACTATTGAAATGAAAAGATTTCTAAAACAAGTCCCTCGTAATTTCAGAAGTACAATGTATCACAAAATATGTGAAAATTTTAATTCAGCAAGCACTTAAACTAGTGTTTTATTTTTTAAAAATATACATATTTCAGGTCCTGCAAGACCTTCATTTCTTAGTCTCTAGCCTCACACCGTGCTGTATAAACAGGAGCAAGCAAAGCATTCTTTGCATTTTTACAGTAGAAGACATAGACATTTCTCATCTTGGAACCGGACAGCAGCAATCTCTGCTTATTTTGGAAATCATTTGTAAGAAAAACCTTCGTGCTGTCAGTAGGAGGGAGAGTGGTCCCAGTCCTGTTCTGAATGGTCTCCTGGGGCAGAGATTGCATCTTTTAATGTGGGAGCGTGGGGATGTATCCCGCCCCCAACAGCAAATCCGCTTTCCGTAACGCAGGAACGCAGAAAAATTAATCCAACGTGAAGAGAACTTTGACTGATGGATGTTCTTACAACACATTTGCTGGATGTTTGGAATATAATGGGAAGGGAGGGGAGCGAGCTGTACTGCTCCATGAGAAATGTGGTACAGTGAAGTCAGGGACTGTAGATAAGATTAGACTGGAATGTCCAAAGTAATTAAGTGGCAGAAAAAAAAATGATAAACAGTGAAAATAAAACTCTTCAAAATGAATTAGGGCTTGGGTTGATATTTATTTCTTCCTTGAAAAAGGTTCAGAAACACTGTGTTAGTGAAATTAGGATGATGTTGGCAGTCGTTCTGTCCTGTGCCTGTGGAAAAGGCTCTTGGAAAGACATGCCCTCTTCAAAGTATTGGCCAGGAACTTCAGCAGAGTGAGGAACACGCTGTTATCCTCAACCATGAGATTCCACCAGCTCTGCGTATGTTCTTAGTTTTTCTCACTCTGAAGCAGAGTTCCTCCTCTAATAGAATCCTATCAGGAAATAGGGAGATAAGAGTGGTTGAAAATTGAAACTGGCTTCAAGAAACTTTGCACCAGTTTCTTCTGATGTTGTTGTTCAAAGTGTTACCTGTAAATCTGCTTCCCCAGATTTACAGGTAACACTTCCCAGATTGTTTTATGGACTGTTGGTGATCATCTGAGTGGTGGGAAAAGTAACACCTAACTTTCTTCCATTGTTGTCTGCAGAGTTAGATACTCAGAGAGTAAGTTATTTTGGATATTTGCGTCTTTCCCACTTCTACCTCTGCATGTAGTAATGTTCTAACAGCTCCTTCGCTTGCAGCTGGCACAGAGGTGAGACAGCCTCAGCAGAACTTCTGTGTTGCCACTCTACATCCACTACGGATTCTTTGACCAAAGTAAAATTTTAAAATCTAAAAATACTGGTCAACAGAGGACTTGTCGTTTCTCCATCATTTTACAAATTGTGATGGGAACACCAAGGCAAAAATTTAATAGTTTTAGTAACCTCTTCTTGACTAAAGAGAGCTTACTTACCTCCACTTTGGTGGGAACACACTTCCGTGCTCTGGCTTCGTTGACACCAGTATTCACTCTTCTAAACATCAAAAAAGTGCTATTGAGATTATCTTTCTTCCACATTTCCTTCCCTATATACACCCACTGTCATAATCACATGGAGAATTTCAAATCCAAATGTTTATCCTCCCTTCAGGGTGGTACGTGACCTCACCCAACATACAGCTCATGCTCTTAGCACTAGAGGTTTACCCAGAAACGTGTGTTGGGGCAGTGAGGTTGTGCGTGGCTGAGGTGTTCTCCGCTGGACGTGACCACCGCTCTCTGTGCTGGAGGCTGCCTTGGTGCTTCCTTCCCTTCCATTTCAGAGATTTCGGAGATTTCAGAGATTTCGAGGTTGGAAACCTAGATTTCTAGGTTCCATTCTCACGTACCTCCTGGTTTCAGCAGAAGTTATGTGCTTAGAAGAACAAAGAAGGGGGTATTTTCCGCTTGTATTAGCACTTCCAGTAGTTCTGACTTTTATGACTCGATTTCGTGATGTTGTCCCTTTTCTTTACTTTTTGTTTCAGCTGGAAACCAGGACAATTGGCAGTAATATACCAACCTGGGGACTTCTGTAATATGAGAAGTTTCAGTTGTCTGCTCTAGGCCCAGTACCAGTCACTCACCATTTAGGTACCAGTAATCACAGCGCAAAGTTTGTGAAAACCACTGGACTGAAATTCATTTATCCCAATTATTTGGGAAATAATAATCGATAAAGAATGCTGTCACAAAAAAAACAAAATCAGTGCACAATTAGGAGGAGAACTTCTTGAACATCGTATCGTAACCAAGTGCCACGGTAGTACTCAGCCTCTGTATGTTGGTTTTTCCTTTCCAAGAGCAGCGTTCCCAGTTTCTCCCTAGTTGGAGGATGGGCAGGAGATCAGAAGTAACTTCTGATAGCTTACCTCATGTTTTCAACTGTCTCCCAAGGGAATGAAGGGCGTGTAAATGCTGATGGTATGTCCTTTTGAGTGACTTTCAGAGAAACCAAAAGGAGGGAAGCGTTGAAGGGCTGGTTTGCATCAGTCCCCTCTGGCCACCCCTGCCCGGAGCGGGGTGCGTTGAGCAGGAACGCGTTTCCACCGCCGGCGTTTTGTCACGGCAGCGTTTGTTTCTGTTTGCAGAACACTCTTCTCCAGGAGACGGTGCGCAGAGAGTGCGAGGAACGCGGCGAGCTGACTGCAGCCCTGACTCAAGCCAGGGAACAAGTGCTGGAACTCAAAAAACTCAGCGGAAACTTCCCGTTATCGCCGCGTTCCCTGGCTCGGGGCAGCCTAACCTCCGCTGCCG